CAGCGGCTCACACGAGAATTTCCCTTTTTCTTACACAGTCAGTGTCCTGCTCGGGGCCACCCTCCCACGGGCTCTCTCACACTCAGGGAGCCGCGCTCTCACACTCAGGTCTTGCACACGCACAGTCACTCTCAGGCTCTGGGCTTCTCTCTCTCTCTCTCTCTCTCTCTCTCACACACACACACACACACGCTCAGCCTTACACTCCAGCGGGAGGTCCCTCCCGCACGCGGGGTCGCGCTCATCCGCAGCGCCCATCACGTGGCCCGGCCCGCCCGCCCCACGCCCGGCCCCAGGCCCGCATCCCGCCCCGGGGCAGCGGCCGCAGGGACCACGCGGGGAGATCGGCCCCACAGGACGCAGCCCCGCCCCGCGGCCCCGCGGCCCCCGGCGCCTTCCCGCGGCCCGTTACCTCGCGGGTGGCCAGGCGGCACCAGGATGCTCGGTAGCGCGGCCGCCACCCCCGCCGCCCCGCCCCAGGCCCCGCCCCGCCACGTCACCTGCGGCCGGATCGCGACAGCGCGCGCCGCCTCGGGACAGGGCGCCCGGCTCCGGCTCCGCTCGGGGCCTGCGGGCAGCCGTCCGCCCCGGCCTCAGCGGCCCGACCCACGTGTGCTCTCCCGGCCTCTGCGTGCACTTGGCAGCCGGTCCCCAGGACGGCCATGCCGGGCCCCACGCGGCTGTGACCTGGCCCGGCCTCCGGTGCCAACTGGCGGGCCACTCCCTGGCGCTGCACGGAGCCACCCCAGCTCCCGCGGAGGGCGCCCACAGGCCCCAAACCTCCATCCCCTCTGTCCCCCGGCCGGGCCCCCAGCCAGGGGGACCCACAGCCAGGGGGGACACACACAGCTTACATAAGGAGCTCTGACAGCCTCCTCACCTCCTGGGCAGCCAGCCCTCCACTCCGATCCTAGGAAGACGCAGACGCAGGACTTGTCCTCCACATTCACAACTCAGACATCGCCGCTCATCTATGGAGGGCCCTCCCCCCCAGGCCCATGGACACTGCTGGGCTTCGGGCTTTTCTGGGTTTCAGGCTTGAGGACATTTTCCGTCCTCATCTTGCCGGACCCTGCTGACACCCCTCTTAGGGTACTGCACCCTCCTGCCTCTTCCTGTCCCGCTGGCTGCTCCTTCTCCATCTCCGAGGGCTCCTTTCCTTCTAATGGCCATGAGGTTCAGGGCCACCTGACCTCAGAGGCAGCTGAGCACTCCCCCTTAGCTTCCTGTCCGCACGTCAAGCCCTGTCTCTCTCCTGGGCCATGAGTCATTTCCCCCAGAAATGTATTCACAACTGCACATCCTTTGGTTCCATCTAACCCTACCCAAACCTCTGTCCCCCACCACCATTGACCCAGCCAGAGATGGGCAGCACTTGGGCCCATCCTCCTCCAGCTCCCCAGCGGTAATAGCTCCCTCTAACTCATCCCCACCGGGTAGGGGTGCTCTGAAAATACAGATTGGAATGACTTCATGTCTCCTCTGCCTAAAAGCCTCTCCATCCTCCTCCGTACTGTGGACCTGAGATGAACTTTGAAGAGCCCCCAATGGTGCTGCCCTCATACTCTCTGCTTGGAATACCTTTAAGTGTCAATGAGAGTTTATGCATATTTGGAGTCATTAGAGCCTGGCCCTTTGCCCCCTAGATCAGTTCTCCTGCCTACCTGGCCAGGCAGAGGAAGGGCTCTGTCACTCAGTAGCAGCCAGTCCACTTGACCTTGCAAAAGCCACATATACGACCTTCCAGCTCCCAGTGTTACCGGTAAAGGGACCAGGCCCGGAGCGGGTCTGCCTCTGGCTGGCCTGATTTGTGTTGGGTTCTTGATTTCATGCAGAAAAGATTTCACAAATGAGGCCAGGTGATTTTAAGAGTACATTTATTAAAGCTGGGGACAGTGAAACAAGCAAAGGCTTAGGAGAGAAGAAGCAACAGGAGAGCCTCGGTGGGGCTGCTTTGGCTCACAGGGAAGTCAGAGAAAAGGGGGTGCTGGGGACAGGTTCAGGGGGTTAGCCGGATCGAACTGCAGCTGCCCATTGTTCCCCTGGTTGCAAGTGGGACCTTTGAGTTTAGGAGACGCACACCTGAGAGGGAAGGCAGGCATGGGCAAGCACACCCTGCGTACTTGTCTTGAGGGTTTTAAAGACGGGGAGTTCACGGTCTCACACCGTTACAGCAGCCCACCAGCTGAAAGCCCACTCTGCACCAAGTAAGTACTAAGTCAGATGTCCTCCAGCACCACCAGTGTTCCTCAGGGTATATTTATTCATCCCCATTCTTCAGATGAGCAAACAGGCTCAGGAAAATCAGACTGATACAGGATAGTAAGAAGCTAGGAAAATTCCTTGGCAGGTGGAATGGGAAACTGAGACAGATAGCTGAACGAACTGACCGAGCACTTTATAGCAGATACAGAAGGTCACCAGGGTGGAAATCCCTGGGTGCCTAGCAATGGACAAAAAAATTGGTGCCGGACCTCGTCACCAGGGTGGTCTTTCCTCCTCTGGTATATCCCTGGCTATGCGGGTGAGACCCCCCTGACCCTTCCTCCCTAGCAATAACAGATAACATCTAGGCCTGGGTTGTATTTCAGGTCTAAGCCCATAAAAGCAGCAAAACCAGATGGGCAATGCCAGGACCAGCTGCGACAACTATTGACCCTCTCTTCCTGGTGCCAACCAATCAGTGGTGACCACGACCCTGAAAGTATTCACCTAGAAAAGCTGATGACTATTCTATTGAGATCCTTCCCTAAGACCTCTCCTAAACGCTCAGCCTTCAAAACCCAAGCCTAAGGAATCAGCATCCCCGGGAGCATGCCCCGGGGCATTCCCTAAACTCTAAGGGACCTGAGACTTGCAACCAAGGGGCCTGTCTCTAAGGCCCCCTTTCTTCTGACTGGCCAGTGAGCTGAAGGCAGCCCTGCCTTGGCCCATTTCTTTCTCATAATGTTCCTCGAGAGCAAAAGCAGCCCCGCCTACTCTCGCTCCTGTTGCTTCTTCTCTCCTTAGCCCTTCCTTAGTTCGCTGCCCCCAGCTTTAACAAACGCACTCTCAAAATCAGCTGGAATCTTCTCTCAAAATGCTGTGAAATCTTTCCTGCATGACGTCAAGACCCTCATCGGGGCAGTCCCTGTCTGGTAACAAGGAGAATCCACAGGCTACTTGGCTGAGCTGGCAGAGCTCAGAGTTGCACCCCAGTCTGCTGGTCCTGAAGCCTGCTCTGATTCCATGCGCTCTCTGCAGCTGTGAACAGAGGGTGGCAGTTCAGCTGAAATGGGTCAGGGGTGAATGGGAGTGCAAGGCCACCACCAGGGCGTGGCACGAATGGGTGGGCATCAAGGCAGAGCTGGGAGTCAGGCCGGGCAGTGCCTGGGGGTGAGGGTCTGCTCCTTTCCATGTTGTCATCCTTTTGCCAAGGCCAGCGATGCAGCTGGACCTTTGTTTCCCTAGCCACCCTCACCCTCTCTGGACCAGCGCTTCTTCCAGGTTTAGCCAATAACTAGTGCAGCGGGAGGGTTCAGAGCGCCTTCTAGTGGCCTCCAGGATGTATCAAAGCCTGAAGCCCAGGCTGGCCCTGCCCTGTAGACAGGAACTAGAGCTCCCACCACCCTAACACGCCCCTGCCTGGCTCTGGGCTCTGCACTAGAGAATTCAGGCCTGGACCCCATCCCTATGCATGTGTTCCTGTATCAGACTATCTGTCTTTATCCATTTCCACTTGCTCCCCAGTCTCTCAGTCCATCTCTGCCCATCTTGGCCACACCAGTCTCAGCCTCCCTCAGTCCCCTAGCAGGACAGATGAGCTGAATCAAAGTAGAAGGGTGGCATCCTAAAAAGAACTCTAGGTTCAAAGGATGCTGAGATGCTGAGACCTACAAGCTGAGAGAGAAGAGAAAGCTGGGAAGGGGAGTCCAGCCAGGGTGACCTGCAGTCTTGTCTCTGGTACCCCGATCTGGGGTGGCATATAAGGCCTGCTGACCAGGCAGGAGCAGGAGCTGCATTCCAGAAGGAATGGTTCAGCCCTAACTGGTTTGGCTCGGTGGATAGAGGCGTTGGCCTGCGGACTGAAGGGTCCCAAGTTCGATTCCGGTCAAGGGCACATGCCCGGGTTGCGGGCTCAATCATTAGGGGTTGTGCAGGAGGCAGCTGATCAATGATTCTCTCTCATCATTGCTGTTTCTATTTCTCTCTCCCTCCCTCTCTCTTCCTCTCTGAAATCAATAAAAAAATATACATCTACACGATGGAATACTATGCTGCTATAAAAAAGAAGGAACTCTTACCATTTGCAACAGCATGGATGGAACTGGAGAGCATTATGCTAAGTGAAATAAGCCAGTCAATGAAGGAAAAATACCACATGATCTCACTCATTAATGGATAATAAAGACCATTATAAACTTATGAACAATAATAGATACAGAGGCAGAGCTGCCTCAAACAGATTGTCAAACTGCAGCGGGAAGGCCGGGGAGGGTTGGGGGGCAGGAGGGAGCGGGGGTAAGAGATCAACCGAAGAACTTGTATGCATGCATATAAGCATAACCAATGGACATAAGACACTGGGGGTAGGGGAGGCCAGGGGATTGTCAAGGGCGGGTGGGAAAAAAGGACACATATGTAATACCCTTTGTAATACTTTAAGCAATAAAAAAATTAAAAAAGGAATGTTTCAGGTCCTGGTTCTTAGTCCCAGGAGGGGAACTAGATCCCAGGAGAAGGGGCAGGAGAATAAAGCCCAAAGTGGTGCATAGGAGCCACGCTTCGGTGCTGAGAGAACCCACTGAGGCCACAGGAAAGACCTGGCCCGATTACCTGCTCTCTAGCCCTCTTACCCCTCCACTAGCTCCCTCCTCTCATACTCCGAATAGAGCCTAGGCCAGGCAACCTTACAGCATCCAGAATACTTTTATTGCCACAATCAAGATACAGCCTGCTCAGAGCCCGATAGGGGGCCCACCCCTCAGGAACACAGGGAGAAACAGACGCTGGGTATGTACGCAACAGAGAAAATCCGGCTCCAAAGAAACCTGTGGGAGGGCAGCACAGTTCAGCCTGATTGTGGTTTTGGGCCCTCACCCTAGAGGCTAGAACCAAGTCTTGGCCTATAGCTGTTGCCCACTCAGAGACCACTGCCGAAAGGCAGATACAGACTCTCCAGCTCTGCTGTCATAGGAAGACCATACCAAGAATGTCAAACTCTCAGCCCACGGGCCGCATGCCTCGTTTATTTGGCCCGTGTCAGCCTTTGAGTTTGACATGCTTGACCCATGCAGCATCCGGGGGCAGACAGGAACCCCGCAGGAGGGCTCCAAGGCACCTGGCTCTCACAGGGGCCCACTCAAGTTCCTGAACTAGTCCCTGCAGACTAAACACCACTGTGCTGCCTGGTGGAGGTAGGTGCTGGGCAGGGTGGGCGGGAGCCCAACCTCCTCTCAGCCCTGTGCCGGCCCACGTGGGTGCTAGAGAAACCCTATGGCAGGGTGACAATATGGTGATGGGGTTAGCAAGAGGTCAGGTTAAAAAAAAAAAAAGTCACGTTAGGGAAGCTCTGAGTCACCTTGGTCCGATCTTGAGTTCTCTTTCTTCATCAGGATCTAAAAGGCTATGGCACTGAGTCCTGAATAGCAGTTCTAGGGTGAAGGGAGCCAGCATCGATACTGTTGGCCGGTGACAGCCCACCAGGGGATCAGAGCTCCTGGGATACAGCCCGCAGAACTGGGGGGGCTGCTGCCCACTCCTCAGCTAGGCTATTCTTGGAGGTGAGGGAGGTAGGAGTGAATGCCCCACAGCCTGGGAACCACAGAAAACACAGCCCACCCCTGCCTGCAGGGGGAAACGGGCTGCCCCAGAGAGCCACAATTGGGCTGTTGTGCAGCGAGGCCACAGGGAAGCCAGCAGCTCCAGCTACCCGTGGCCAGCGGCAGCGGTACCTGTGGCCAGCCAGTGGGAAGGATCACCCTAGGGACAAGGAGCCCATCGCTGGGATGTCTGGGGGCAGGGACAGCTCAGTGATATCCCTCACAGGAAGTCTGAGGGGCCAGGGCCTAGTGGGCCATGTGAAATGGCCACAGGAGTAGAAGGAACACATGGACCCTGAGTTGGGGGATTGGATCCAGGTGCAGCCAATCCACCTGCTGCCGGTCCTGAGGTCACGATGATTCCATCAGCAGCAGCATTCTCTCCATTAAGAGTCCCTTGAGTGAGTCCAGACTATTTCTTCCTTCCTCTCTCCCAGAGAAAGGGTAAGAAACGGCACTTCCCAATGGCAGATGTTTCATAACCCAAGACGTATGGCCTTGAAAGGTCAGTTACAAACTGCTAAACTCATGGGCCACGGCAGCCTGGGAGGTCAAGAGCAGCAGCTGTGCCAAGCCATCCCACAGCCCTGCCTGGCACAAGAATCAGGGCCCAAGGAGCAGGAATTTCAGGTAGGCCAGGGTCGTGGCATTGGCCAGCATCTCAATGTGCTCGCTGCCTGGCAGCTCCTGCAGTGAGACCTGGTGTTCCTGGCGGCTGCGCCAGGTCTGGCACTGCAGGGCACTCTGCAAGTTCACAGTGCCATCGCCATCACCAAAGTAGATTTTAGGGTCACGGTCTGGGAAACTCTCATAGTAGAAGGAATCTGGTGTGGGGACACCCGTGCCATAGAGGCAGTGCAGTGGCACGCCAGGTGGCACCATGGCTTCAACCAGCCCCTCCGTGTCCTGCCGCATGAGCCAGCCGTCTTCGAAGCCAATGTCCTGGAAGAACTGGCGATAGTCGCGCAACGTGTAATTGGTCGTGGATGTGCGTACAAAGACCTTCTCAGGTGACCAGGTATAGTTGTAGGGCAGCAGCCAGCTGGTAGAGACAGCAGTCCGCTGCTGCTCCCGGATCTTCAGGGGACTGATGACTGGGATCCGGTTGTTGTCCCCTGCGGGGAGAGGGCTCCAGTCAGTCAGTGCTCAGGAATGCAAGCTGGCTGGGCACCATGTTCACCGCCACGGCCCCTGCTGGACCCCAACCAGTGGCCCAGTCAGCACACCAGTCTCTCCAGTTATCGTTATAACTCCCATGCCTGCATTCCCTTTTATTGTTTCCCTGTAATTTTGCTACATCTGGGAAGCACCCAACCAACACTTGTTTCTTTCCTTCTGCATTTCTTCACCAGGTATTTAGGCAACACACACCCACAAGGTGAATTACCACTGGGCCTGTAGGCACTGACCTTATCCAAGGTGAACCAGCAGGTTGTCAGTCCAGAGGCACAATCCTTTTTTTTTTTTAAATTACAATGAGCTATGCAAATATTTTTCTTTTTCTAGGCTTAGAACTGCAGCCAGCCAGTCCTGCCTGTTGCTGACCTGGGCAGCCAGGCCCCCCAGGCAGGTCTGCAGACTAGAGCATGAGTCCTTCAAACACAGGAATGCCAACAATACACACACACCCAGTTGCCAGTGAAACTTCCAGAGGGTGAGTTGGAACTTGGGAATGGGAGCCTCTTGACCCTGTTGAGGACCCATGGCCACCCATCACTCTACCTCTCTGACCACAGAACCACCGCTCTGCCTGGCGGGGCCTGGTTCTAAGACTCCTGAGGAAAGGGAGGCCCCCATCTAGGGGTCCATGACTATCACCCTTCCCACCGCCGTCCTGCTCCCAGATTGCCAGGGCCTGAAAGAACAGTTTCCCAGTATCTGAGGCAAAGCCAATCCAGGGTCACTACAGGGACAGGCACTGGTCTGACCTGATCACAACAAGCAGATCAGGCAGTGCCGGTGACTTGAGGAAGAAAGCTCATCAGATGGTTGGCCCAGCCCTGTGGGCACTGACCTTATCCAAGGTGAACCAGCAGGTTGTCAGCCCAGAGGCACAATCCTGGTTTATGGCTCCTAAAGTGAGGGGCCATGGGGCTCACACCAGTTCTGGCAGAGGGAGGGAAGCCCTATGGCTGTAGCTGGCAGATCCTGACAGACATGAAAATGCAGGTGGCCCTGGCTGGCGTGGCTCAGTTGGTTGGGTGTTGTCCTGTGCACTGAAGGTTGTCGGTTCAATTCCCAGTCAGCACCCAGCCAAGGGTTGTGGGCTTGATCCCCGGTAGGGGGGCATGCAGAAGGTGGCTGATCCATGTTTCAATCTCACACGGATGTTTCTCTCTCTCCCTCTTCCTTCTTCTCCCATTTTAAAAAAAATCAATTAAAATATTTAAAACAAAAAAGAAAGTTCAGGTAAATTGGGGAGAAATGGAATGGGGAAGAGGTGACTTTCCCAACTGCCTAGCAAGCAGGCCCAACCAGATCTGCACCTGCTTCCTCCTTGTGTTGCCAACAGAGGTTCTGAGCTGCTGCACATGGAGGTGCAGCTCATAAACAGGAAACTGTCGTCTAGCCTTCCTTCTCTGGGGCAAAGGTGGGAATGAAAGAGTGAGTATGAGGATAGGGGAGAGGGAGAAGGTTCCCCCAAAGAACTCTGGGTCAAACCAAGTTAGGCAGCCAGGCCTGCGCAGAGTGCGTGTACACGTGTGCACAAGCAAGACCTGCATGACCGAGAGTATGTCCATGTACATGCTGTAAGACACGTGCACAGGTAACCAAGGTCCTCAACGAGAGAGGTGACATTATTTGGAAAAGAATACGTTCTGGAGAAAGAAGGGTTCCCCAGGAGGACACTGTAGAGGGGAAGAGAGGGTGCCACCCCAACACCAGCCCCCGCATGCTGGACCAGGCAGTGTCTTACCTGAGGCCAGGACGCGAAAGGTCTTGGCCACGCCCCCCCAGGGCGCACCCAGTGCCACGAAGGCACGGATATACTTGTCCTTCCAGGCCTGTGGCTGTCGCTGCAGAAAGTAGAGCGTGTACATGTTGCCCATGCTGTGGGCAACCAGCACCACGGGGCCCCCATACAGCTGGTGCATCTCCTCGATCATCTCCCGGAGGGCCAGGAAGTAGGGCCCATTCTCATCTGCAGGCCAGAGCCAGGCGGGAGTCAGGCGCGAAGGGTCCTGGGGCCTGAACTATGAGTGTCTCTCAGGCCAGACCCAGGACTAGGAGAGGATGCTACAATTCAAGTGGGAGTAATATGGTTTCCCCTCCCGTTCAATGAGGGTAGGGAACAAAGGGGCTCCCCTTCCCCCTTCTCAGACTCACTATCTCTCTCCAGGGCTCAGAGACCCAGAAATCCTGGGGTGACGGAGGGGGAAAGACAGGACAGATTGACCAGGAGTAAGGGAGAGCCTAGGGCCTATGGTGACTGTGACCCCCTGTCCCCACCTCCCATGACCTCAGCGGGAAACAAGGGTGATCACTTACTTGGGGCTCGGCGCCAGTCATAAGGGGCCCCCCGGACGTCCTCACCCCTTGTGTAGCCCCAGCTCACAAGGCTCTCTACCATGGTGTGGAAATAGGAACCTATACACAGAGAGGTACAGGATTAGTCCTGACTGGTGTGGCTCAGTTGGTTGAGCATTGTCCCATGTCCCATGCACCAAGAGGTCACCAGTTCAATTCCTGGTCAGGGCACAAGCTGGGTTGCAGGCTCCATCCCCAGAAGGGGGCGTGCAGGAGGCAGCCAATCAATATTTCTCTCTCTCTCCCTCTTCCTTCCTCTCTCTAAAGTCAATTAAAAAAAAAAAAAAGCCCTAACTGGTTTGGCTCAGTGGATAGAGAGTTGGCCTGCAGACTGAAGGGTCCCAGGTTCGATTCCGGTCATGGTTGTGGGCACATCCCTGGTGGGGGGTGTGCAGGAGGCGGCTGATCGATGTTTCTAGCTCTCTATCCCTCTCCCTTCCTCTCTATAAAAAAATCAATAAAAATATTTTTTTTTAAATTCATTAAAAAAAAGAAAAAAAGAGCCCTAGCCAGTTTGGCTCAGTGGATAAAGCGACTGAAAGGTCCTAGGTTTGATTCCGGTCAAGGGCATGTACCTCGGTTGCAGGTTCCCTGGCCCTGGTCGGGGTGAGTGCAGGAAGCAACCAATCGATGTGTCCCTCACATCGATTTTTCTCTCTCCTTCTCCCTCTCCCTTACACTCTCTCTAAAAATCAATGGAAAAATATCCTCAGCTGAGGATTAACAAAACAAAAAAAAAAGAAAGAAATGCATAGGATTAGAGAGGGTATTGCCAGTGCCAGCCACCTATAACATGCCTGCCAAAGACACTGTGACCTCTACCGCAGGGAGATCCCTGAAGGAGTGCTCTCTGCCCACACTGACAGAGAACCACTCTGCCTTCAAACTGAGTGGTTCCTCCCACACTAGGAGTCCCGCAAAACCTCCAGCCTCATTCCCCAGAGAGCATGAGAAGGGCCACATACCCACACTGCTTTTGCTGGGATCCAGGAACTCCAGGGAGAAGGTCTCCCCAAAGCCAGGGACATGCACGTCCACACCATCGGGAAACTGGGTGGCCCGGGACGTCCTGTTGTAGACCAGCCTGTCAGGAGGGAATACTGAGCTGGTGACCCAATGTTGGCACTGAATTCGAGTCCCAATTCTGCCCTGTGTCCTGAGCCACACTCCCTTCTCACCCTCAGGTTTGGTCACTTGTACAAGGGAGACCAGAAAGTAACTGGGGGTTCAGAGTTAGTCACTGAAGATTGCTTCTGTGCATTGTTCTGAGCTAAGAATAATTTTAGCTGCCCCTCCCCCTTTAACTTGAATTAGGGTCCTTGCCCATAATAATTGCCATTAATTATATGGTAGGGCGAACTTCTATTTACTAAGCACTTGTTCTTATCATTCTGTAATGATCCATTGAAGCCCCCAGGGCACCTTACCTCAGCCCTAGCTCTTCTATCTTATATACAAACTAGAGCAGTGGTTCTCAACCTTCCTAATGCCGCGACCCTTTAATACAGTTCCTCATGTTGTGGTGACTCCCAACCATAAAATTATTTTCGTTGCTACTTCATAACTGTAATTTTGCTACTGTTATGAATCGTAATGTAAATATCTGATATGCAGGATGTATTTTCATTGTTACAAATTGAACATAATTAAAGCATAGTGATTAATCACAAAAACAATATGTAATTATATATGCGTTTTCCGATGGTCTTAGGCGACCCCTGTGAAAGGGTCGTTCGACCCCCAAAGGGGTCTCGACCCACAGGTTGAGAACCACTGGGTTAGAGCATCATCCTGATACATCAAGGTTGCAGGTTCAATCCCCAGTCATTGCACATAAAGAATCAACCAATGAATGAATAAATAAGTGGAACAATAAATCTCTCTCTCTCTCTCTCTCTCTCTCAAATCAAATTTTTATAAAAGAGGAG